GATGTAGAAAGATTCAAAAGTTCTTTGCCAAAAGCTTACTATTCTTGATCCTAGTTTTAAGTTTTACCCCTAAGTACTTTAGTTTAATATCTCCAACTAAGTGTTCATATCCCATGTTCCAATCCTTCTCATTCCATTCTTTTTCTCATGTTTTAGTAATTCACCAGTCCTGCATTGCTTCTATAATGAATCGAGTCTCCATATCCGCGGAGCACCGGCATTTCGAATTGATTCAAGTCCCAGCTGGGGATTCCTTATCACACGACATATGTAGAACTTAATCTTGCATATATCAACCTCGCTACCGGGTCCTCCCGTACTAAGCCGTCTCCATGCCACCCGAGAGCACAGCACGCCTCAAATCCGGCCATATTCAAGCCACAAGGGTACACGCTACTCCCGCCATCTCACCACTCCTAGTGCGTGGGTATTCGTCTTAGTATCGGATTAGACGAATTAGGCTTACCGAAGTATGTGACCAGTACTACAAAGTGTCTCGTTCAGAAGATCCACAATGAGTGGCATTTAAGCGACATAGTCAGCAACATTACCCAACATTCAAGATAAGTCACCAAACTAGTCTCTAGTTCATTCTATCTTTTTTCTTTCTTTTTTTGGCCAGTATGCCATCTTTGATTGTATCGAAACTTTTACTTTGAAAACCTACTATAAAGCATACTAAGCAATTCTATGCCTTTGTAAATAAAATCATCTTCAAGGATGGTAAACAATCAACAAGGTAGTCAATGCATCAAGTAGGTAACATTTGAATAAATCAACTTAATGTAATAAGTAACATAGGTGATAAACTTTTCAAAGTAAACAAGGTAATGGTTTAATGCATAAATCGGGGCCTGCCTTCGTTAACGATCTCAGGTTCCGGATCAGTACCACAATTATCAAATCCCGTGACAACCGGGGATTCTTGCAGAACTTGCTCAACTAGAATCGTTTCACTCTCGGGTTCTACATGAAATGATAACATATGCTTTAACATGATGATAATGTAAACATGATGCTTTCACGGTACATAAAATGTAACAACACCCCGAATACGATTTTCCTTCACGGTACAGTTGCAAGCCAACAAAACTAACTTGCAATTCTACCGACAAGAACCACACATGTGACTTGACCAAACTGATCTTGAAACCCTACTGGTCACACAACATGACCCAAACAAAAATTAAACTATAACCCTAACAATTAGGGTTGCTTTTATTAAATTTTTAATTAATTTGAAATAAGTCCAAAAATAAACTTATTTCAAATGACCTTAAAATTTTATGTAAGCTTCCTCATCACAAATTAGTGTACCAAAACAAATTCCATAATTTTTGGAATTAGACAGTGACCTACAAAAATTATGGAAATTGTATTTATCAATTAATTGACTGAACTTTTGAACATTAAAAATTTATTCAAATTTCAAGTTTTAAATTTTTAAACCATAATAGAACATGTATAGAAGCTACACATAAATTTTCAGAATTTTTAGAGCTGTAATTAATTTCCTATAAATTTTCAAGAAAATACAAAATTCCACTATTCTCTCTCTTTCACTGACAGCCGGGCCCCGCTCGTCAGTGACACAGAGACAGAACACGGCGGCGCTGCCATCACCGGTCGGCCAAAACGCGCCGGCGGTGATGCTCCGGCGAGGCAGACTGCACCAACATGATCTACAACGTCCCATGAATCTTTCTCAGCCCTCAAAACGGTAGCAGGCGCACCGAAGATAGCTCCCCGTCGGGCATGGTGGCCTGGGCACGACGGCGTACGGTGTAACCACGGCGATGTTGCAGTAGAGACTAAAGCGAAACGATCATCACGTTCAAGAGCTCACCGTGATCACGTAGGTAGACTCGGTGAAGGCGGAGACGTACTGGATCGACGGGACCACGGTGAGGTCGATGATGGCGGAGCTCCAGCAGGCTCCAAAGAAGACGGCGTCGCGCGGTGGCGCTGATCGGCTAGAGATGAGGCGAGCAGGTCGGGAATGAGTGGCAGGGTGAGGCGGAGCTTCTGGCCAACGTAATTGACCATAGGTACTACGGCGAGGACGAATTTCGCGAGCGCGGTCAGGACACCGGCGGCGAGCAGTCGACGGGAAACTGAGGAACGACGACGACATGCTCCTATTTATAGAAAGAAGGAAGGCGTGCGGTGTCGACAGCACACGAGCGAGCTCAACACGGAGGCATCGGCGTGTCACTGCGCGTGAAAGCGGCGAAGAAGGTCGGCGGCGAACAGCGGCGTGTCGCCGGTGACAAACAGACGATGTCAATTTGATTTTTGAACTATTTACAGAACTGCCACTGAGTTCATTTTTTTCAAATTACTCTCAAATTTTCTAAAGAAGATAAAAATCTCCAAAAATGAAAGTTGTTCAACTTTTCAAACTCTACAACTTTGCTTCAATGAACATTTTTAAATTCTGCCTCCATTTTGAAATTTGAATTTGGGGTGCATTTGAGTATTTGAATCATTTCACAATTACTCCAAATTTTATATATAAACTTGAAAAACTTTGAATACCAAAGTTGATCCACATAAAATAATCTCCAACTTTGCTTTTTGCCTCAACCCCAAATTCCACATGAATTTTGAATTAGTCAAAAGGGGCAAAAATGACTTTTATAATTTGAATTTGAATTCAAATTTGATTTGTCTTTCTTTTACTTTAACTTTGATTTTTGACAAGTAACATGGCCCATTAGGGTTATTTGAGTCAAATGACACATGGCCTCACAATATCACATGAAATTTGACCCTTGTAGTCATGATCTTTATTTAAGGTTTTGAATCACATCACATAAAATAACAACATTATGAAATAAACCCTATTTAGTGAATGCATTCAAAATTTTCTACTCTATGAATGTTTTTCAATGCATACGATGACATGTCAAATTTTTAATGATAGGTCAAAACACCAGAGGTGTTACACAAGTGACTGCTCCGACGGCAGTAACCCGCAACTAACGCGAAGTGGCGATTGGGTACGAGGCATATTATAAGAAATATTTTGTTTTTTTACCCTCTTATTAAAAATGTCGCTACTTCAAAAATCATTATTAGAATAATATACGCATATTTTGCAACCAGTTAGAGAAGTTTTTCTCATTTCTTGCCAACTCTGCCAATATATCGAGGCACACCAGCTAGACAACGTGGAGGCACACCAGCTAGAAAATTGTATGAATTTGGACATGAAGGGTGGGGGTTGTTGAGCAACTCTAAAAGTCTTTTTTATATCCGTTTGTATATATAGAAATAGAGATTTTGATGAAAGAAGTCCTCTCTAACAGTTTCTAATTAGTCCGTCCATGTAAGAATGCAATTCTCGCTTCTCGATAAGTCAATCAGTTTGAACTTTGACCAAAATTATATAAAAAATACCAATATTCCTGATGCAAAATTAGTATCATTAGATTAATCATAGAATATATTTTTATAATAAATTTATTTGAAGACATAAATATTAATACTATTTACTATAAATTTGATCAAACTTTAGCTACTTTGACCGACACGGATCCTATAATTGCATTCTATTATGGACGGAGGGAGTATCAAGATATTTTTATCCTCTGATCTTGTTTTATGGCTCGCCAAATATTAGAGAGTGAAGCTAGTTCTTCAAAGTGCCGGATAAGATATAGAGGATTTTGTTGAGGTTGAAGAAATATATAAAGTATTTTTTATTAAATAACTTTCTAAACGAAGATTTAGAGTGTCTCTTGAGGGACGTGTTTGGTAACGCTCCATGAGAGCAGCAACCAAACGGCCCCTCGCCGCTTCGCTTCGTAGAGGAAGCTCCTTGGTTCACGCTGAGAGAAGCGAAAAGAGAGAAGAGCAGCCAACTTCACCCTACTCCTTATTAATCGTGTCGGTTCGGCGCACGAACAACATCCAATTTGCCCGGCAAACGTGGCTGACGCAGCTTTAGTCAACAGTGACGCGGGTCATGGAGGGGAGGACCAACGACAGGGCGGCGCAGGGCAACACTAGTGCAGGGGAGGAGGAAGAAGGAAGAGATGTGTGCAGTGTGGTGAGCGTGGAAGAGATAAAGGTCATGTTCGGCTTACCCCATATTCGACTTGTTTAACTTTTTATTTTAGTCGGAACAATATTTTTCTCTCACAACAATTCAGTCGGAACAGTGTTTTTTAGCCAGTTTCAGACCAGCGAACGGGGCCTGTGGATAGAGAGAAAAAAAGGAAAAATATTCTAGACATTTATCATTTTGTACAATGAGAAATAGTTATTTTATTAAATGTTTTTTTCTAATTAGTGAAGCTGAAGTTAGAAAATACTGTCATGTTCGTCAGCACTACTTCAACAGTGCTTTTCAACGAAAGAATAGTGTTTTTCTCTCTTAACAAATCAAAATCAACATTAGTAGCGGCCAAATTTCAGCGAAAAGATCAGGGCCACTAGTTTATGGAAGAAGCTTTAGCTACTAAGGACTGAGACCTTGTTTAGTTCCTCCTCTTAAAGTTTACTCTCTATCCCATCGAATATTTGGACATATGCATAGAGTATTAAATATAGACTAAAAAGTAACTAATTACACAGTTACGACTAATTTGCGAGACGAATTTTTAAGCCTAATTAGTCTATGATTTAAGAATGTGGTGCTACAGTAACATATACGCTAATGACAGATTAATTAAGCTTAATAAATTTATCTCATGGATTACTTACGGATTCTATAATTTATTTCTTTTATTAATATACAAATATTCGATATGACACCCGATATAACACCGTACCTGTATTTAAACGAAAAGACGAGCTGCTCGCCAAATTTGCCCCATGTCTGTTGGTTTCCGATAGAACGGCCCAGATCGCTCGTAGCACTGCAGCAGGCCCCTGGAAACGTTCCTCGCTTCGGCCCTCGCCCACCCCTTTTCTATCGCTCCGAGGCCCGAGCCGACTCCTCCCTCACTCTCGCAGCCGCCACTTCTAGAAGCTTCGAGGCTGCTGCTACGCCCATGGCCGCGGGAGCCAAGACGCCGTCCCTCGCCGAGGTACGCAGCACCCGGACCCCTCTAGCCCATCATCTCGTCTGGTGCCCACACCTCCCGATCTGGACTTCGCGACCCCGTGGGGACGGATCTAGCGGGCGCCCCCAGATCTGCGTTTCTCCGATGGCACCGTGCGGGATAGGGTTATGCTCGGCGTCCGGATTTGGGTTTGCTAGTAGGGATCGTTTGTTTGCCGCTGTTGATTCTGAAACAGCGAGTGGTCGATTTGGTGGGATTTTGGGACTTGTATGCGTAGATGTTAATATAAGGGTTTTGGTTGGAGGAAGAACATCAAGTTACCTACTGCTAGTTTCGATTTTGTTTGGTAGTCGTGTTACATGTTAATTAGGCCCTTGTGGAATGCTGATAGATTCGAAGTTTGTGTTAGGTATGCCGTAGTTGGTGGTGGTGCTTAGTAGTCTCTCGTTCAAGTTTGGTGCCTAAACGCGTAGAAGCTTTTGAGTAGTCTTGTAGATTTTAGGATGAAAGCCATCAAGGCCGATGGAGCTATAAGGATTTCTGGTAATCTAGAAAGGAGATGGTGATGCATAAATGCTCTAGAAGAGCTGGCAGTTATGCAACACTATGTATTTTGCTATGAGTCCTGTGGTATCAAAATAGTTATTTCTTGTGATTAGATATTTTGGGACATATTTTTTAGTATTAGATATGTTCTTTGTAAGGAAAGGATAGTGCCACTATGCTAATATCTTTTACGAAGGACATGTGTTCTTGTTACCTGATTCTTTTCAAAATGTCTAGTTTATAGAAAATTTCTAATTATTTATTTTGATTCCTAGGATTTTCGTAGCTAAGTATTGACCACTCGGTGTCCGAATTTTTTCTAGAATGTTACAAGAATTATGAGTGGTACTCACCCCGTTTACAAATATATGCTAACTTTGACTTTTACTATTCAAACTTTGTCTGTTAATAATTTTCAAATATATAGTTATTTAAAGCTGCAAAAAAGATGTACTAGAATCACGATGAAGAATTATACTTATAACAATTTGCATGAGCATAAGAAACCCAGTCGAAGTTTGAATAGTAGAGTCAAAATTGTCATTCCTTTGTAAATAGATAGGATGGTTCTCAATAGTTGCTTTAGACAATATTAGTTTGACCCTATGGATGGTCTGGAGTGGGAATCACAAAATGGATCTTCACTAACTGTTAGGAGAATCGAATATGACGTAGGTGGTTTAAGTATAGAGTCGGTGATTTTGCATGTGAATTGGAGTTTTTATGGAGAAGACAAATTCCTGTAATGGTTTTTGGTAGTATGCTCAAAGGCTCAGCTTTTCGAGTAGAAAGCATAGTGTTTCTTTTTAACAATGGACAGTACCTGTCAGGTCTCTTAATTTTTGTATCAGTGTTTTAGAAAGCACTATGGTAGGTTCTAATTGGTTAGACCATTTTTTTGAAAGTTTTCTGTACAAGAATGTTCTCATGCATATCCACCATTTTCTTTATGTGATCATCATTGAACCTGTCCAATCTTTACTAGATCATAGCGTCTGGATGTGCTCATATTTATAACCTTTGTATGGAACTTTTGAGTGCACATGTAAAATTGGTCTCCTATGTTGAAGTTGGTTGTGTTGTTATATATTTTAATCTGATGGGGCTGGTTATATGGGTTCATGTACTTCTTGCTTGGTAATTGCTACACTGCATTAGTTGTATATGAGTTGGGACAATTTATTCAATATTAAATTGGAATTAGCTGTTTAATACAGGTGAAGGTTCTTGAGTAAGGATTCTACATGTGCTCCCTTCTTGAATACAATTTTCACTTACAACAATTTCGTCGTCTATGGCTTGCAAGAATTTGTAAGGAATTTCAAGTGTAGTACACCATCATGTATACGTATGTGTCAATAGGTTCATTTCTCAAAGTTGCATATGCATACTGGCTTGCTTACTTTCATGTTAGATCTTAGATGCAAAAATTGATCTCTTTTGATGTGAGTTGCTTGTCTTGAACTTCACTAGTTGTATGTGATGAATAATACACTAGTTCTTTTGCAAGCTCATTCCTCTTTGATTTGTGCTTTTATTTCATAGTGTTACTGAACTCATGCTTCATTTGTAGGAATATTCACTTCCACCACAGGAAGTACCAGTGGAAAAGGCAGCTGAGGAGAAGCCCTCTAGTGGTACTGAGACTGAAGCTGCTCCCTCAATCAATGATGAAACTCCTCCATCTGTAGAAGACAAGAATGAAACTTCTGAGGTACAAGATGCTGCTGAAAAGCCAGAGGCAGAAGAAACTAACACTGCTGCAGAGGAAACACCTGCTGCAGAGGAAGCAAGTGAGACTGCCGAGGAGGAAGAGGCTGATAAACCTGAGATCAAGGTTTGTTGTTGCCAAAGAATAAACTGATGGTGATACCACTTGGTAGTTTCATGTTAATGGATGCTAAATGCTTTCAAATTTCAATATACAGATTGAAACAGCTCCAGCAGATTTTCGTTTCCCAACAACAAATCAAACGAGGCACTGTTTCACACGCTATGTTGAATACCACAGGTAGGTTTTGTCATTGTGATTCATAAAGTTGAGATAAGTAAGGATCATCGTGATAAGTCTTCTCAATAACTGTGGTTATTTGATCAGGTGTGTGGCTGCAAAAGGTGAGGATGCACCTGAGTGTGATAAGTTCGCCAAGTACTATCGATCCCTGTGCCCAGGTGAATGGGTATGTATTTATTGCTTTCACCACTATGGTTTACATTCTGTCCTTGTTGCTTGTTGTGTGGTTGAGATTAGAAAAATTACTTTCTGAGGCATATGGATTATGCATTTCGAGTTGATAAGCATTCACTTTACAGTAGCACTGTTATTTAACAAGAATAACAATGTTTTAGCTGTCTAGTATTATTACTGTACTTTACCTAGACAAAATACTTGAACTTTAGGATATGCTTGGATTTTATAGAGTTCTAAATGGTTGGATATGTTGCTTCACCTTGTCCTTGTCTAGCAAAGTCATGGAGACTCCTGAATGTTTGGTTTTTTGTCTATGTGTGCTTGTGGGTCAGGTGGGCATGGATTTCTTAGCTTTCAGGGCTGAGCCAAATTGGCTCGCCTTTACTAGCAAGGTTTCCGTTTTCCCGTTATCAAGACTAGGCAAAGGTTACAAAGAGACCAGACTCTTAGGAGTTCATAATAAACCTGATACTGTAGTGCTTTGGCTATTAATTCTCTCTTTAATAACCATGTGTATAGTGATGTAAAAAATTGTCTAGTCTTTGTCTTGGTTCGTAACTTGTACCCAGTAGTTGGTGAAATAGATATATTGATTTTTTTTTCAGTGAAAGGTCAACCACCTGAACATAACTTAATATGTTTGCCTAGCAAATGGAAACCGATATGGTTGCTTTTCCTGGACTGTCTATTCAATAGCACCGATATGGTTGCTTTTCCTGGACTGTCTATTCAATAGCTTCATATAATTGTTCATATCTGTATATAAAGTAATTTTAAGGATGCTGGGCGGTATTAGCATTGAATTTGTTCAAGTTGTGAATAATATGGGTTAGTTAACGTGGAGCTTCAGTCCAATATCTGCACTTATTGGCTTTATTGAAGTGAATTGATAGTTCACAGTACTACAACATTAGCATAGTGAATAATAGATTCACAGGACAATGTTCCATTCCATATGCCGTCTTTTGCCCATATGCATATTAAACATCTAATGGTCTAAACATATTTTGTAAATAGCTGACCTTGCACACATTAATTATGCATGATTGAACAAGAGTTTCGTGTCTTTAACTCCATTGTCTGACTGCGCCCAGAACACTAACTGACCTGTTTCCAAATAATGTTCAGTCCCTCAGCTTGTCCTGTTACCGTCTTGGCATCTTAAGCTCGACTGAATTGTGCTCAATATGCAGGTTGATCGCTGGAATGAGCAACGTGAAAATGGCACCTTCCCTGGACCTCTGTAATCTTACAATGCAAAAGAACTATGAACTCACGATGTTGTGCCGGCTTCTCTTCCTTGGTAACTGGCGCCAAGTTACCAGGGACAGATAAATCATCTTTTTTGGAGCTCTCTACAAAATAAGAGATTCTTTTTTACTTGAAGAATGCCTTGTTGCTCTTCCTAACGGTCATGTTCTGCGCTGCTGAGAAACTAGCGTCACAGTTACAATTTTCCTTATACAGTTTAAAAAATGATTCATGATTCCCCATCTTTGCCGTCACAGTTACAATTTTCCTTATACAGTTTAAAAAATGATTCATGATTCCCCATCTTTGCACTGTAACGCAGCTTGATTGGGCTTACGATGCAAATCTGATGCACTGAGATCATCTTCTTCAAAGTAGTCCGCGCCTCCGTGGCGATACACATGCATAATAATAAAGTAAGTCTAGAGTTTTGCACCGGGGTGAAGAAACGCTGCTGCTGCATTCTGTTTTTACTAGTTTTCGGAAGTTGCATAGTTTGGGTTTGTTTATCTAAAGAGCATCTCCTACAGCCTCTGTATATGGCTCCGTGAAGCCCCGTTTGCAAATTGTGGTGCAAAAAAACGTGTCCAAACAGCTTATGTATTGCATTTTCTTTTTTTCCCATGAATGCTATTCCGGGTATCTAGCTGTCTATATTTTCCGCAGCTCCTGCGCACGTACAGTTCATGCGCAGGCCTTGTTCGGCTGACCCAGCCGGTTTATCCGCTTCTTTTTTTTTCATTCGGAGTCGTGGTTTTCTCTCACAAATGTAGTCATGAACAGTAGCTTTTTCATCCGCTACGGTGTTTTGGTTCAGCCGAACGTAGCCAATAATGTTTTTTCTCACAACAAATCAGCATCAGTCAGTCTAAACCAGCATCACCAACCAACGAACAGGGTATGTGTGTGTTAGGGTGGGTTGATGTGAAATTTAGTTTAAATTTTACATCAACCTATTCCAATATACAGAGATATCCAATCCACTGACACACATAGATGGAGATAGATACATAGTCATCCAAACAAAGTCTTGATATTTGCACCCGTGTTTTTTAGAGGAACCCATGCTAAGTGTTCCACTCCAATTCTCTTGGAAAAGCTTTTTAATAATTTTTTTTTTTGAAAAACCAATCTTTGATGTAACATTTCTCTAACTGTTCTCGGTACGGTCACCCCCACTGAACTCCATTGCACCGAGCCCAGCCAAGAGCCAACCACGCTCCTACGTGCCATCAAACTTCCATATTTTTTAGTTAACCAACTATAGCCCCCCAGCATTTTAGATATTATCTTGGAAAAAATCTATTTTTGACCTTTAAACTTTTGTTGAAGTATATATTTAGCCCTCAAACTCTAAAACCAAATATGCATAGCCCTTCAATTATTAAAATCGGAACACTTTTACGCTTGGCTGATTTCAGAGGTTGGTTTTAAGTATATATATATTTTTAAAAATAACAAAATAATAGGTAAATCGCTAAAATTCATAAACAATTTTTTAATAAAAAATATAAAATTTGTAAAAAAAATCTAAAATGTAATATGTCTCATCAAGATATACAACTTCGATTTGGTAATTTCTTCATCCTAGTTCATTTGAACAATTCAAATAATTTAAATTTAAAATATAAGAACTTTAAATAGAATTTTAGGACCATAAATAATTTCAAATGAAATAGTCGTTAACTACAAAGTTGTAAATCTTATTGAGATCTATAACTTTGGTATTGTTCATTTCTTCATCTGAGTTCGTTCAAACAATTCAAACAATTTGAAATTCAAAATACGATAACTTAAAATAGGAGTTTGGGACTATAAATAATTTCAAATAAAACAGTCGTTAACTACAAAGTTGAGGATCTTATCAAGATCTACAACTTTGGTTTTTGTCATTTCTACATCCGAGTTCTTTCAAACAGTTCAAAAAAAAATCAAAATATGAGAACTTTAAACTGATAGATTATATTTTAAACAAAATAATATTTAAACTTTTCTCATGACTAATTTATTTAAACAAATAGGTTATATTTTTTTGAAAACTTTTTGTACTAATTTCATATCTTTTGATTCAAAAAACTATCTATGAATTTTAGCAACTTATCTATTATTTTTTTTAGAAAATACATATATACTTAAAACCACCTTTGAGATCACCCAAGAGCTAAAAGTTGTCTAGTTTTAATAGTTGGAGGGCTGCGCATGTCTGATTTTAGAGTTCAAGGGCCAAATTTCATACTTCAACAAAAAATTCAATGGCTAAAAATTGACCTTTTCCTATTAGTCCAAGCCCAAAGAATTACGTACGACCACTACTCTCTTTACCTAGAGGTTTTCACCAGGAATCTATAACCACTATTTTCATATATAAGAATATTGAGAAGTAAAGGAGGCAATGGGGATTCCATTTTGCAGATTTTATGTGTGATACGGTTTCTCTCCGCTCACCACTCTGAAGGTTCATCATAATTGAATTTATGGCTATTATTTTTAGATTCGAGAATACTATGAGCTAAAGCAGGTAATGAATCAGCTGTGGGGCAGTCGTCGTCGTCGATGTAGCACATGAGATGACAACAAACCTTTAAGTGAGCCTACTTTTTGTTTTTTCTAGACATAAATTATTGAAAATTGTTGGTGATAGGGTTATTTTTCATTTTCAATGTTGATTGAAAAAAATTGCAAAACCATATTTTTGGAATTATTTTTTTAGACACCGTTGAAAGAACTCTAAAAGCGGAGAAAGATAGCCCTAGTAAGAAATATAAGAGCTTAGAGATGTGAATCTTGTGTGAGCTATTGAAAGGAGGCGAAGACAAAAATATCTGAGGTAATTCCTCCGTCTCATGATAAATGCACTTGTAGAGTTTAATTTTTTTCTCGAAATAAGTGCACATCTACTTCTATTTGTCTTTTTCTACTTTCTCTTTTTCAAAAATGCAATCGGCCTGTTTGCTGGTTGGTTTCTAAGCTGATTTGGGTTGACCGGTGCTGTTTTGTTGTGAGAGAAAACACTGATGACTGACTGATTTGGGCTGACTGAAACAATGCATATTTCTAGAGGTATGTTTATAATTTCTCATTAGCTAAAAACGTAGAAGTGCACTTATTAGTGTCGCCTTTTCTTTTAGTATTTCGAAATAGCAAATCTTCGATTCGTAAATTGGATACCCTGTCCTGTCCTATGTCTGCAGCTCCAAACGCATGCTGGGAAAGTAGCACATGACGAAACACGCCGGTCACCCATCCTCTCTGGGTTCCACCAAATCCAACGGCTGCTACAGGCCTACAGCGACGCGGCAACCTCCCGTCCTCCGGCAAGGCAAAAACTCTCCCCGACACCACACAACTTCACGTCACGGCACCGAGACCTTCGAATCCCGGATCCGCGAGCACAGGCCGCAACCAATCGGAGCGCACCGTTCCACGCTGGCGATCCTCGCCACGAGCCCGGGAACGCTCCTGGCCGTCCGATCAGACGGGAAGAAACACAATCATAGCCGATCCGGACCGCCCACCCAACGCGAACCGGATATACCACACAGATGCGGCTCTATAAATAAGACCCCGCGGCCTGCCTTTCTCATTTTCTTCCGGCCTCCTCTTCCTCGCGCGGCGACCCCCCGATTCGAGGCGTGCGGAGAGCGAAGCACCGGGAGAGGTATGCCTCGAGCCCTTCCTTCCCCTCTTCCCTTCTTCGGTGGTTTCCCTAATTCGAGAAGGCGTCGTTCCCGTGGTTCTCGCGGTCGTGCGGATTTTGCTTGTTTTGGTCTTTGATTAGAGACGTGTGGTTTGGGGATCAGACGGGGTTAGGGCTTCGGTATGTTGTCCTGCAGCGGCAGCGGCGGCGGCTGCCGGCCGTAGGCTATGGGGTGTTAGGGTTGACTCGAGCGGTCTACTTCGATTTGCGCGGATACTGCTTGTCGCGTGCTGGTAGTCGTAGTTTTGACTCGGTTTGGGTCTAATGGTTGGGTACTGTAGCGATTATGGGGGGTGATTTAGGTGGAGCTGTTCCGATCTCGTGCGGAATCGTTGCCCTGCTTGGAATTCTAGGTGAATTTAGTGGCGCTTGTTCTCATGGTTCCATCGCCCTCTGGAACTTGTTATTGGGGATTAACATATGGGATGGTACTCAGTAGTTCGTATGTGAACTTATCGCGGAATAGCACTTCTGATTTGTATTCGCTAGCGAACTTAGTGAACTTGGCTATTGTTCTTCCATTTAGCTGTAACTCTCAGGTTACTATTTACTTGGCTATATGATGATTCTGTACTGTAGCGACTGCTTTACTTATGTAGATTTGTTACGGCTCTTGTGGAATTGCGTCCGTTATCCTGATTCTAGATAGGTGAATTTAGTGATTTAGTGCTTATTCGCATAGTTCCCTCCCTCTGATATTTAGGTAGGTCAATTTGGGAATTCGACTCATGGATGTTATGAGAGTTAATTGTGATTGTCTTCAATAGGTTGCATGTGAATTTGTTATGTAATGTTAAGTCTGACTTTTTGTTCTCTGGTGGAATTAGTGGACTTTGTTATTGTCCCTGTCAGGCTGCTGATGCTTCCTATTTCATTTCATCAAGTCAGCTCATGATATTAGCAGCTAGGTTGTCTGCTTATACAACATCTGATCTCATCAGATCGTTCAGTATGAATTGATGGCTTTTTTGATCTAAAACATTGGTTACTAGTCATGGTGGCTGAATTCTGCACTCTTGTTAGAACCATTACTGTAGGATATATACTGTTATAGCTTATAGGGTGGTCCAATTCTAGTGCTAGTTGTTTAGTTGACAACTATATAATTAAATGTTAATTGTAGTCTACAGCAAATGTCATATGGTTGTGATTATATCTCTATTTTAACTTGCTTCTGAGCAACTTGTGTCTCAATAATGTAACAGATTGATAAAGTATATTGGTTCGCATTGTGATACATGTTAATTGACTGCATTGAAAAAATCCTAAATTCCTGTTGCATTTATCACCTAGTTGTTGGGTCTCTCTTGTATGCTATTTGTTTTTGTGAATTCATTTGTTGTTAATAGTTATATATTCATACCATGTTGCAAATTTTCACTATGTTTTAGATCTGTGAGCATTGGTTGTATATATGCTATACTAAGGATTTGATGCTTTCACATAATTGTTTGATGTGTTTGTTGCAGTTTATTCCTGTAATATAGGTTGTTTGTTGTATATATTAGTTGTTGCTTTCTTTATATAGTTTGCATTTGCATGAATAGTGGTTGCTCAGGTGTTCACATAAGTTGAGCTACTACTACTTTTCCCCTAGGATAGAGACAACAGAGTTGACCTATTGCCCAACAACTAGTAGGTAGGTTGGTGCTTTGAAATTTGTTACTTGAAATATGTTTGCACAAATTGTTTGTTGCAGTTCTACTTGCTCTATCCTGTATTTCATGTCTAGAAGAACGAAATAATGAGAACCAAGGTGACTGTTTGGAAACAGTGATAGCTGAGAGTTATTGTATCCAGTTTTATTAGTAGTTTGTTGCATATGTTGAAATTAAGAAATCTTTGCATTTGCTGATAAGAAAACTGAAGTTTACTGGCCATATTTGGGTTAGGTTTTTGTGGCCCTGAACACGTTTTGATGTTTTGCTCTCTTAATTAATGCAGATGGCTCGTACCAAGCAGACTGCTCGCAAGTCCACGGGAGGGAAGGCTCCCAGGAAGCAGCTTGCAACCAAGGTAAGGTTATTTAGATAATTGTACCTTATTTTCTGTTTCTTTTTTATGTTTGATTTGACCCTGATATTGGATTCAAACCGTGATTGAATTTGTCCCTTTGGCATATTGCTTCATAGGCTGCCCGGAAGTCAGCCCCCACCACTGGAGGAGTGAAGAAGCCTCACCGCTACCGCCCTGGAACTGTTGCCCTCCGGTCAGTAGAACATCCTTGGATTCTTCTGTTGAATCTGCTATTGTGCTGCACTACTGATATGTTTGTTTTGCAAATGTAATTTATCAGTGAGATCCGCAAGTACCAGAAGAGCACTGAGCTGCTGATCAGGAAGCTGCCCTTCCAGAGGCTCGTCAGGGAAATTGCACAGGACTTCAAGGTAATTCCTATCTCTGAATTGAACTTCCAGAGGTTCAGTTATGTCCTTGTATCAAGTTGTTGATGGAACCTGTTGTTTTGCAGACTGATCTGCGTTTCCAGAGCCATGCTGTGCTTGCCCTCCAGGAGGCTGCCGAGGCATACCTTGTTGGCCTGTTTGAGGACACCAACCTGTGTGCTATCCATGCTAAGCGTGTGACCATCATGCCCAAGGACATTCAGCTGGCAAGGAGGATCCGTGGCGAGAGGGCCTAATCCACCTCAAATCATTGTGACAAAAATGAAGTCTTGTGTCTTGGCAATGATTTTAATCTGGTGCCATTGTAAGGACATATGAGTAGGGTTTGTTTTGTGGATCATAAGTTTCTCTACTGCCGCACTACGTGTTGCTGCTACCATTGCTGGTGTTATTACTAGGGTCGAATGCTTAAATTGTCTAGTGTTGTAATGCGCTGACAGTCTGTGACGTGTATGCGATGCAGGCACTGACTAGCAGTGTTGTCTGCGCTGCTGGATCTTGCGCCTCATTGCTGTGGCTGATTTGTTCGTTAATGTCAAGAATTGTGTTACAGTGCGTGTATATCTGTGCATCGCTGCATTTATATCCGAGATATATCTGTTTCGAGTGCCATTGCTTATCTTTTTGGTCTCTTCACGTTTTATTTCCTACCTGAGATTCTTTCCACCCTAACCTCCCTCGGTTTTGACTAGCCAGGTTGCTAAACAGGTCGTAGTTGGTATGTTTTCATTGGAAAGGAATCATGACAGTGTCTTTTCTATAATAGAAGCTACAATTTTGATTGATAACCGGTATTTGTATGATCGTACAGTATCATATCTCTTTAGCCTTTGGATGGCTGTTCGTCGTTTCTTTCCACCCAAAGTTCCAGTTCGTGAGATCACATCGCATTAGCTTTCCTCAGGGCTCTTGCCATGGGTGACTCAAGCTAATATCGCATTAGCTTTCCTTAAGACTTCCACAATGAGTTACTCATAAGTTAGCTCTAAGTATTTTTTTTATATATTTTGTAGAAGAGAAAAAAAACTAAGGCCCTCTTCGTTTGTCTTATAATCCGTACTTTTCAGCTTTGTTTTTTTCATCGATGTTTTTCTCTCACGACAAACCAGCCAGCCAGAACAGTATTTCGACTTATTTTTTTACGAAACGACGGGGCCTAACTCTTAATCAAGAGCTATCACACACCTATTCAAGAACATGTGAGAATACCATGTAAACCTAACCATTATATGAGTCATTGTTAAAAGGTTGGCTACGAGTAGTAACTAACTCTTATCCGGATGCCCTTGAAAATTTTCCAGTGCGTTGCAAGTTTCCAGTCATCCAGGGCCTGTTTAGATGCTGCCTCTCAGCACCTCCGGTGCCAGGCGCAGAGTCCCCCAAGGCGTTCGATTTTCATCGCCTGGGATGAGATTGGTTGCCTGGCAGCCACGCCCCGGCGAGGGCGGCGTGCGTGGGATCACATAGAAGAGCTGAGAACAGGCCAGGCCACTTCACCAGTTCACTCACTGGATCGATCACGAGGCCCTACCTAGAAGAACCCCCACCGCAACCCACCCGCCCCACCGCGCTGTCGAATTGGCCGCCGGCGAGATGGCCGCACGGATGCCTCTTTCCGCGCAGGACGTGCTGCGCGTCAACGGCAGCCGCCGCTTCGCCGCCGCGATGGCGGCCGCCTCCCCCTTCGCCTCCCTCGCTGACGCCCTCCTCGCCGCTCGACGCATCTGGCTCGACGAGGTGTGTCACCTACTCGCCTTCGCCTCTTCTACCTTCCTGCTATATATCCCTACTTAAATTTCTGTCCACCCGCGGACCTCCGCTTCCTGCTGTACTGATGCCGTGCTTGCTGCCCGTGCGCGCGCTACGACCCATCGCTGGATCGGATCAAGGTGGATGTCAACGGATGGCTCGAGGCCTTCGCGGCGCACCCGGCTATCGGAACCACCTCCCCATCTGTCTCCAAGTCGGTGGAGTTTTTGCCCTCTCACCAGCCACCCCCCCTCCTATCCAGTCAATTCCTCTGCTTAATCAGTTATCATCATCTTGCTGTTGTTGACCTGACACTGCGTTATGGCCAGTTTAATTGTTAAAATCAGTGAAATGAACTTGCGAATCGTTTCACTCAACATCACACAAACAAAATGGCACCAGTCACTGTGTTGGTGATCTTCTTCCTTTCTGGTTTAGGTGGAGCAAGGAGGAGCAATCAGCAGCGCTCTCCACAGCCACGGATTCGACGGCCCAGGTGCTACATCAGCTCCCGGTTTTCCTTGCGTCTATCATATATGAACTCTGGATTTCCTCGTGTGGAAAAAAGAAAAAGAAAAATATATGAACTCTGGACTTACTTTAGTTTTTTTCCTCCACCTGCTGCAGGAGCTGGCAGAGTGGAATGCCAGGTACAGGGAGAAGTTTGGCTTCGTGTTCATGATTTGCGCCTCTGGGAGGACTGCACCTGAGGTCTTGGCTGAGCTTAAGGTATGAATACGTCATGTTCATCTTCAGATTCAGTGTCTGTTTTCTGCACTTGATATTTTTGCAATGAAGTTCTACTTCCAGAAGGACTCAAATTACAGAATTATGTTTGGATTCTTGCTATTGTCCTTGCCTTTGACTTGGGTATTGAGGTGTCGTATTGTCTGGACTTTCAGCAAAGTCAAAACACCCATGTATTGTTGTTTAGGGATTGATGATAATACATAATAAGACCATTCGTCCACATATTTGTAGTTTCTTTATGAAAATAAAAGCTCCACATGAATCTCAAACCTAGTCAAAACTAAATTCAGATGATGTTTGTTATCCCTGACGCTGTTGGGACATATTTCTTATATTTAGCCTTACCTCCTTTGTATACTACATTTTGTAAGCTGCAGCATACTTCACGTCTCATGCATTAACTCAAAGATTGAAACACTATATTTCCTTGTATCCTTATAGTGCCTCCTCCTATTTCAGAGGCGTTACACGAATAGGCCAATTGTTGAACTTGAGGCTGCAGCACAGGAAGAACTTAAAATAACTGAACTACGCCTTGCGAAGCTTTTCTCATCGGAGCCTACTGTTCCCTCCACTACAACTGAAGGCCCTGCCACCCAATCAGATAAAGCAGCAGGTATCAATTCCACTCTATCTGTTTGTAGGTTATACAAAAATGTCTCCCTTTTTTACTTTACATGTTTGCGAGTTTTGTTATATCTATCCTATATATCTGTATGCATGTTCAGAGTCAAATGTTCACACCATATAGCATACTATGAACGCCATCGAATTTGTTCAATTCTTACTTATCTGGAATTTCTGTTCTTTCATTCACCTTAGCTACTGTTGAGTGAGCAGCTAGATATGGAATTTGTTTGCCGCCTTCTTATAGTAGGGCATGTACTTTTGTGATCTATTTTGACTAGCAGTCACAATATTGTGTAATGCTAAAAATGAATATTTGTATTGAGTTAGTGCTAAGTTTTTCTTATTGTCATCTTGTTTGCTAGTTGAAATAGTCTAATTGAATTTTCTCTTAATAAATAGAAACAGAAGAAAAATATTGATGCACATCATTTTGCAAGAAATATTTTGAAACAAGAACCATATAGTTCACAGCCATTAGTAAACTAATGAATTGTGTTGTTGAATGGGAATTTCGTTGTAAAAGACATCGACTATCATCTCATTAACAATTGATCTGTCTCCATCATCATTCTATACTTTCATTCTCATTCTCATTGATTCATGTGCTTTACTAGCATATTATAATTATTTGCTGTACATATACAATTTGGATTCTTCTTTCTCACCAACTAAATTTTCAAAAAGATCGCATACGGTTTATTGGAGCACATCTTGGAGCTCTCCCTCAGCCTTGTGCCAATAAAGCTCCTGAAATTACAGGTAGCTCCAACCGAAGTCGGCCTCCCATTACAACTCATGTGCTGGACACTGCCCGTGGATCGCCTGCGTCTGGAATTGAAGTTCACTTGGAGATGTGGAAGGATTCTTCAGCTCCTCCATCATTCAGCAACAAAGATTTCAGCGGATGGGCAACTCTAGGCTATTCAGTTACAAACAATGATGGACGCAGTGGTCAGCTGATGGACATCGTCGATAACATTGCTCCAGGCTTCTACCGCATAAGCTTCAACACTGCTAAGTATTCGCCTGCAGGGTTCTTCCCTTACGTCAGCATCATATTTGAGATCAAGGAGAACCAGACGGCAGAGCATTTTCATGTTCCTCTCTTGCATTCCCCTTTCTCATTCACCACTTACCGTGGAAGCTAAGTTGTTAATTTACGTGTACCTCTGTCGGGATGTTCAAAGCAACTATGTAAACTTGACACTGCCATTGTGATAATAATCTGGTTCCATGTAAGCAGGCTTTAAACTTTTAATAAGAAGTATTGTTGTTACCTATGATCAAATGACAACTGCTGTCGTGTCAAGCTTTTTACGAGTTACATGGAAAAGAATGCAATTCTACTTCTATCTGATCTAGTCAAACTATCTAAAGTTTGGCTAAGTTCATAGAAAAGAGTATCGATATTTATTGACACCAAATAAGTGTATTATGGAAATACATGTTGGAGATTGGACACGGAAAACTTTTAGATAGCCAATAGAGATACTGATGGCCCTTTTAGTAACTACTACTATAGGTCATATACTTTTGCGCCATGTGTGTGTGTGTGTGTGTGTGTATATATATATATATATATATATATATATATATATCGATTCAGAATCATACCAATGCTCTTAGTCTTTCAGAAACTCTTGAGACATCTATGCCTATTCTTGAGCAAAAGGCCTGCAGTTACCAAGGGAAAGAAATGGAACTGCATGCAAGTTAGAAGTTGTATAGCAGACACTAAATTGAGTATTTGTTGGGTGTTTTTTTTTACTAAAGACAGATAAAACATCCAGACGTATGGACACATAATACTAGTTCAGTTTTATTTGCAAATGGAGAAAACGATGACCGCAACGGATGAGTGGATCAGATTTTTTTTTGGCAATGAAAACAGAAAAATATAGAGAAACACTATAAAGGCTAGGGAAGACGTGTGTGGCCTAGATAAGAAGAGACAACAGTAGTGCCATACAGCTGAATACTACGCGATCCCAAACTTTTGTCACTATTCTACATAGAGAATCAGTGTGAGGTATGTACCCGGGAGTGGATGGTGTGGAACATTCTGCGGCCGTCGACAGAGAGGTTGACGCTGATGATCTCGGCGCCTTCTTCTTCCAGCACGGTGACCACCTGGTGCAGCTTGAACGGCCGCCGCACGCTGCTGATGAGCACCACCTCCAGGCTGGACCCGTCGTGGCTGTGCCACACCTCCACCACCGCCGCGGGCTCCTCCGCAGCACCGCTGGCGGCGGCTTCTTCTTCTGACGACGACCCCGTGGCCGTGGCCGTGCCCGTGCCGGGAGAAGTTGTTCTGACGGCTCCGTCGTAGTCTTCTCCTCTCTTGTTGCTAAGCAAGAGCTGCGCAGAGCTCCTGTTGCGCTGCAGCTCCTCCACTCTCGCCTTGAGCTTCCTGATGTACGCCGTCGCTTCGTCCAGGCAACCCAGCTGGGTCATCGCGTCCTATACATACATACAAACAATTATCAATATATAAATTCTTTATTTTTTTTGATGAAAATAAATTCTTTAATTTTGAACGTCTATAAAATGGAATGCCCCGAAATATATATTATATTTGTAGTCCGTGAATACTCAAAAGTCATCAGGCAACACAGCACCATAGCAGAGAACAATTCATGTATACCTTGGAGTTGGAGCAGTGTTCCTTGGGGATGAGGGAGGCGAGCTTTAAGCAGAGGCTCTTCATGTGCAGCCTCCTGTTCCTCTCGATCTCCTTCCTCTCCATGGCTGTCGTCGTCGTTGTGGCGGCCGGTGCTGCTGCCGCCATTGTTGTTGCTCCTGCTCCTTGATCTCCTCCCTGTACCGCCGCTTCTGCTATTTTTCTTATTCGTGTTCATCTCAGCAACAACAGCCCAGCCTCTCCCTGCTGAGTGCTGACTGTCACAATGACAACACAGCCCGACAAATCTGGGCCACGAGAACGGCAAAGGTCGTCAGGCTAAAAATGCCCAACAATCGGTCTGAATTGTGAAAAGCCAATCCGAAATGCACCAGCAGCAGGTATATATCTAAATCTAATACTGTATACATGAGTTGTTGAGAGATGCATATACGTTTGCTACGTAGAGACGAGTAGGAATGGCAGGAAAAGTCGGAGAAGATATATGAAACAGAGCAAGTGGCGAAGCTAGCAAATAGTTCAGCTAATGGTGATGCCTGTGCGTACAGATAAGGAGGGTCTAGATGTGGTCGGCTCGTATCGAGCTCCTGCTGTACCAGAAAAAGCACATATATGTTGCCTGCTTATGTACTTGTACAGATAAGGAGGAATCTATCTATATCTATCTGTCTACTAGGTTCGTACTCGTGCGTTGCTACGGGACAACTAAACTTTTGTACTAAAAACACATGGATAGCACGATAAGATAATAATATTGTAAAATTAAATACCAATGTTAAAGTGACATTTAATCGAAAAAAAACACTTTCGTGAAATTAACACACTTACGGAGAGCGCGGCGTCGTAAGCTCAAACTCTACTGTATAGTCATTTCCGTGATGCAGCTAAGATAATGTTTTATATCAGCAAAAAGAAATCTCTGATATCCATTTTCTTTCGTGCGCCAATAAATCCACGAATAAATTCCTCCATTTATTCTACTTGCAGCCTTCCAACCTTCCCCAAAAGTAGAAAAAGTAGAAACCACGTGCCTCAAAGACATGCCTGCAATAATAGCTCTTATAGCACATTACAAGATTTGACATTTTGAAATGGCGCCAGTAAGTCTCATGCCCATTCTAGACCACTTGAATAATATCCATTATCAATCAACATACATTCAAAGATTATAAATAGTCAAAGGTCGCAACCGCTGGCACAATCAACTCAATGAACAAGATGTCGTCATGTTTGAAACTTCCTTGTAATTTTTAAAGTTGGAATAAATCAGCCATATTTGTAGAAGTTGTAATGCTCGACTGAAGTTTCAGCCATCACCATAGTACTTGAATATGCCATCACACTCGAACATGACTGAAGTTAATAATCAAATACCATTTTTTGCATCCAGAACCAATTCTACAGCCTATGCAATATACAATATAGTATAGTAGTACATGTCATTTGGATAGGACAAATCTTTCTAGTTGTATCGGTAGTAGCTTCACCATCAAATGGGCATTTGATACAAGGATTCAGAGATCAAAACAACTTGAGGAATACATGCCGGGACAAAAAAAGTAGTTTACGAATATCATCAGGCATGTAAGCTTCCCTCCACTTGAGCCTTTCCTCCAACATTTTTCTTAACTTGGAACAGTTATGGGCCTCTATCTTTTACGGGAGCGAGGTTTGTTTCCTTCCTTTTGAATCGCAAGGGACGGTTTTCTTCCTTTTGAAATCACGGAGCAAGGTTTGTTTCCTTCTTTTGAATCGCAAGGGACAGGCGTAGGAGCAAGGGGTGCGGGATCGCAACAGACAGAACGATGAACCCAAGTTAGAATGTCGCCTGTGGCTGCTAGGCACCTATTACCTGAAAATAGTGAGATCGTTCTGACTCCTTGATAAATCTCCTGTGGCTGCTAGGCACCTATTGCTATATAATGTACAGGAAATGTGGCATGAGACAAAGAAGAGAAAAAATATAGCATTAGTGTATTGTTCGTCAACTCTGAAGTATATATATGTAACTACAACAAAAATGTGGTAGTACCTGAATTGTTCATCAGTCGTCACCCAAGAGCCAGCAGAGATAACCGGAAGGTACAAATTAATCGGAACCAACAAGATATCTTCAAGAAATTTTGCAAGCTAAAATGCAAACAAGCACAAATGGACCCACTTACAATTTATTTGTGCACAATACAGGCAGAAAGTCCAGTAAGCGTGAAGTATACCTTGAGTCTTGCTTGTACTGACAACAGGCACTATTTACTGAACCACAAACATATGTCATCAGATAACGGAATATTGTCGGGCATATTTGAACAAATAAGTTTACTACTAAGGTATCAGATTATGGGTGTGCCGGATCATGAACAATAAGGCATGCTGGATGCTGAACGGTAGGGAGCAAAACTTGGATTGCTGCTAGGGCGGTCTGCAGCAGTGCGGCAGCCACACGATGGACAATCAAAGCTGCAGTAGTCATTACCAGCAGAGAAGTCAGAGAGCAGGTCCTTGGTATTGAGAAATCAACTGGTGCATGATCTTCTGGATGTCCAGTGCACTCATCTGTTTAGCCATAACACACTTGTGGAAGAGGTGAATAGTTTCTTCTTCTCTGCAGCGTTTGAAAAGTCAAGTAACGATCTTTGTGAAGACCGACACAGGCTTAAAGAAATATAATAACCCAAGAATTTACCTACCATCTATCTAATAGAAGCATAGGAGGACTTGAGTTGACCCAAGAGAATACAACATCAGCTGATATATGGTTCTAAAAATTAAATGGCAAATGAAGTAGACAGTGCAATATCTTGTCAGAATTAAAAATTGACATGACATTTCCAACTTGGCGTTGCCTAATTTGAGTCTGAACACTCATGTGGACCACGGTGCATGAAACCGAAAATACAGTATGTATGTACCTATCTGGGATCAGGAACGGACGGTAAAATCCAAAAATACTATGCAGTGTCAACAAACTGACTCCAACTTTAACCAAAGGAGAGTCCTTTTTACTTGCTACAAAAGGAGATAGGCAAACTGTTGAATCGACAACTCAAGCAAAGGTTTCTAATTCTTCCTCAATAGCTCAAGCAAATATATATTTATTATAAGAATCTAATTATCCAGAGATTAATATATGCAACCTCGGTGAAAACAAAAATACAACTTTTATCTACTAATTTTAAAGCTGGTCAAACTTCCATTCTATGATGACCAAATTATTATCCCTACAGATAATCAGTAAAAACTTACCATAAAAGAACGAGTATAACTATCACAAGAACCATCCCTATGAAACATGATGGGCATGACCCATTGTACCATCAGCAAGGAGCAAAAATCAGCACTCGTTGCGCTGCACCTGCACTGGTCGCTGCCCTCCTTAGGCGTGCTCACTGCCACATTGCAGGTTAATACTAAACTGAGTACATTTGATTTTGTTTCGGATGAGAGGGTTATCAGAATGTTGTCGAACAAAGTTCCTGATAGAGAATGAAAATTAGTGAGGCATCAAACAGCATAACTAAAAAAGTCATTATGTTCATGGAGTAAATCAATAATGCCAATGTGCTTCAAACTGTCAAAAGCTTAGATGTAAGGATCGTCCTTGAATTCTGCACACATCAATAAACAATGCATATGAACTTATAAAATAAGCATAAAAGTTGAAATGGATAGCAGGGTTAGCCTCAGGTGAAATTGAAAGTAAATATACCAGGGTTGTTAATCAAAGGGGCCTTCCACTTGCCCTTGTAGTTAGGGTTATTGATTTTCTAAATAACACAATGATCAACTCATGTCATTGCAGCTTGTCTAGCATAATTTAGCCACTTCGTCATGTTCATACCTTTTTGCTTCCATTGTCCTTTCTACTCTGGGTTAGGAATGGTCATCTTCCTCATCATCCCAATCCTCTGGTTGCAACAATTATTGAAGAATGTGAAATCAAGGATCTGCTAATGATCTGATCACAGGAGATGTGTATTCTATGGAATAAGTGCCATAAAAAATATGGAATAAGCAAAATATGCACCAACAGTGATAAAGATCATTCTTAAAAGGCTGTTCATAGTACTACAATATAGGCACATATTGTCATATAAGTAAATGATAGTTTTACTTAAAGCTTTGTGAGCTACATAATATAGTGGAGACAATACGACCCAAACTTCTATGCCCAAAACTAAAACAACAATATACTGATATGAATCATCTAAAGTTGAAGAATTAAAAACAACAATATACTGATATGAAGCATTAGAAAACAATATACTGGGTCGGTGATGGGACTTGGAGCACAGAGAGGGAGGCACGCAGGGGGCTCAGCTAAAGGCACATCATGCCATCCAACCAGCTATCAATCCAGAGCTCCTAATCTTGGATGCTGAAGATCATCTACATGGCCGAGGGGCCCTCGGAGGAAGACACATCATGCTATCTCTGTTCAAATAAAATGCATTTGAAATTTCTTTCATGAGATGTAGTTCATTCATTGGCATCCTCTGGCCTAGTGCAAAGGCACCAGAAAAAAAGTGATGCTTGATTAGACTTTCCATCAATTTTGGCACTTCCGAACATGGTCAGCATCTCAATCCTGCAAAACCATGAAGTTCAAATTACAAGTTGAAAGAAGAATGCTAGTAAAAAAATAAATTAATCAAATAACCAGGCAATTAAATCAATGGGTCCTCACAGTGTGATTTTGAATTGTTCGATTTCACCGGCAAAGGAGGACAACCCTTACACCTCCCACTCCACTGTGACGTAGGAGTACGTACGTACGTGGTTCGTGCGCGCGCTTTTTGATGGAGTTGAGTACGCGTATTTGTTTGCATCTGTGCACTTCCGGTCAGCCGGCCGCTCGCTGTCAGGCCGTCAGCGACCGCGCGCGCATGTGCCGGCAACGATGGGGAAGGCTGGCCGGCCATTGCATGCCTGCGGCGGCGTCTCGCGCCACCACTCGCTGCAGATAACGCTTGCTGGGCATGGCAGCTGCTGCCCCGCGCATCAGACTCATCACTTGCCAGTGGCGAATCTATGATTTTGTCTTAGGGTATCCCGTCAAAAAAATTTCATATATAATTCGGTAAATCTATTTCAGTAATTCGGTAATAATTATAAAATTGACAACATGATTCGGTATATATGCACTAAAT